ATATGGTGTAAAATGTATATAATATTTTAAATGTGTACTAAGCAGATGATCTTTGGACTTTAAGAGTCACCCCTTAATAGCATTTACAAACTAGTATTTATTTTACTTTGCGTCAGCGACCCATGAAAGTTATTTATTAAATAAATTCATATGTACAAATTTATATAGAGGCAGATTAATGAAGAATTTTAAATGGTATGTATCATTCGATGTATCGTCGTTTTAACCTACCATTTTAATAAGCCTATATCTTTGATAAAACACACACTCACCGCGCTTGCTTCATTGAATATATTCGTGAGGTGCTGACATAAGAACACACTTTTACTTCAGACCCCAAGTCTGAACCTTATACCGAACTAAATTGAACTAAATTGTTCCATGGTAATAAAACTGATCAATGGATATGGCTAAATGCCGTCGATTACGGCACAACATATGCATTCGAATAAATCCCGATTTTAGTTCTACGATATAATTTGTTAGATAAAAAAATTCTTTAATTTGATAATCGTATGTTAATCTTTTTGCAAGATAAGACTAGTGAGGAGCTACGGTTCTCGATTGTCATTAAGCATAAAAATGAAAATTTAAATAAAACTATGTAGAAAAACTGTGAAACAAAAATCAAGACGTGAAATCCTATAAGTGGAATGTTCGTAACAAAAGAACCAAAAGCATTAAAAAGCAGAAACGGTACTACTGAGATTAAGAAATGAATTAGTGATTGTATTACGAATGTTATGTATATGAATTACTTCTTTACATTCAGTAATAAGTTAATATTACATTAACAACTCCGTACTGTTGATATTGTTACTGTGTCCACGTTTATGTAAGACCTAACAATACTTTGTACAAGTTTTATGATACAAATATATTACGACAATTCAGTTTAAATACCATATAACATTATACTTTTAGTATTACACCTTTCACAGAGTAAACCTTTTCTCGTACAAGGAAATGATCTTATTCCGTATGTAATGTCATTGGAAAAATGAGTTTGACTGCTTTCATTATTCAAAGATTTGTTTTCCTCATGGTATTGGGAAAATAGAAATCTACACATTTATGCACCTCCATCAACAAACATACTTCACACCTATTCACTTTGAAGGTATTAACCTCGAAGTATCCTCGTGATTCTGGTACTTTGGTTTTCCATGAGTGAAGGGTAGGTATCTATATTTGACCATATGCTGAAAATAATTTTAACGTGCGTTATTCATTTTTGTTATTTAACGGAAATCATATTATCTACGAATGATGTTTTTCTTTTACCTTGATTTGACGCTTCATTGTTATGCAAAATAACGTTATGAAATACATAACTAATATTGGCCAGAATACTGGTATATCGAAGCAATCAAACATAGTGCATATCATAGCTATAATTGTAGATTTCGTCACAGAATACCAGAATTTAAATTCGGGTAATCTCCTAATAAACGGCCTAAATTCTTCATTAGATCTTGTAGGTAATTCTGGCCCGTCTCCATCTATAAAAAAAGTTAGTATTAAAACTATGTTTTGCAAATAACATTGCCTTATACATGTACAACTGAAAATGACTCTGAATAAAATTCTGCTTCAATAGTAATCAGATCACATAGAGTGTTAATTATTTCTAACATGTAGACATTAAAAGCTTACCGTCAAAATCCACAGCTGGATCGATTTTAGGAGTAAGGAATGCTATAAATAAATTCAAGTGATAAATTCCTAATGCATATGTAACAATATACCATCCCTGAAAATACAAATAGCATATAAATATATTTAATAATCTCCACAAAGTAATAGGATTAACAGCTTTGAAAGAACAATGACTTACTTGTGCAAGAAATATGCGCAGAATAAAAATAAATGTTAGCAACAAAGCAAATATCCACCTAGACACTACATGAGGAGTCCATAGGTCCAGATATCTTTGATATAACTGAAACACAAATAAATTCATAGAATTAATTTATCAATTTATAATTTCCCTCTGATAAATAAAGTTTGATTATTAAACACACCTGTGATATCCTGCCAACTGCTTGACTGAAAACATTTCGTCTCGCTGGACCACCAAGATGCTCATCTTGCATCATTTTACCTTCCTGAGTAATATAAAAACACGAAAATTATTTTTACAGCAGTATATAACAATAAATCGTATTCCCGAGTACATTGTACACGTGCGTCACTTAAAAGAAATTTTAAATAAATTACAGGAACCACTGATATGCCGCGTAACGGGTTAATATATAATAAATACAAAGTTCACGAACGGTTACTTGATGTCTGTTCGAACGTTAAATAACATAGTTTCAAATGTCCAATCTTGTATTTACTGGAAATGACTAATACATTCAATTCTTGACACCAATCATTGCAACGATCCCAAGGTTGCTCGACTGTAAGACTTCGTAGTCACTAGTTGGATCCGATTTTTCTATTAAACGATAACAGAAAATATAAATAAAGCTTGAGAATTGGATTAATTACTTCATTTACGTTTCCTTCTGGTAAACTGTAACCGATTCGCGTATAAAACCGATCGTATCTTGACGAGTTCCAAAGATATTAGAATAAACTGAAAGACGTGCACATAACCTCCACACGTTGCGATCACAGCAAAGATTACCACAAACTGGTGCCGCAATTCAAGCGAATCAAATTTACCTAAGGTATTTCCCTGTCTTCGACCAATCTTCGCGATCAATTCGCAATTTATTTGGTTTAAAAAAATATAACACGTCACAACATTAATGGCATACTATGATTAGACGTACTATAGAATATGCAAGGTGCTTCCACTTATCTTCTGGTGTTGTGTCACAAGAGCTAACGACCGTCAGACCTGATTCCCATGTAACCAACGATCTAATGTGTACCGATTCCTGATTGGCTTAATGTTTCTATGAAAATCGTTGATTTTTAGAAAGTGAATATTTTAGAGTAATGTTAAAAATTATCTTTCATACATCAACAGAAGAAAGACATATTATTTACGAGAATATAATGAATAAATAACGTATTTAAACAATATGAAAGTTTGTAAACGTACCACAACGATAAGAATAAACTTGTGGCGCTATCTAGGTTTGGTAATTAGTACTAATTAGCGAGTAGCTTGAGCATTTTTCCGTGGATGTCACTACAATCGATTCTGATTATTATTATTAATGATGTAATGAATTCAAAATATCGCAACTATCACATTCGCGATACGAGTTATCTATTTAAACTACTTCAGCGAAAATTTTAGTGTAATAAGAAATATTTCACAGCAACTCGTTGGATTTTGTTGCGTTCAATATTATACTCATTAAGGAAACTCACTTAACACGTTGATTGTCGTGGTGGTGACCACCAAATTATTTTTGATTTTGATTATTTTCGAATTACTTGATTCAGTTAAACGACGATTATTGGAAAACATTTCTATATTATAAATAATGGCACCTAATGCGGTGACATAATAATCCAATTCAATCAAACGATTTGATATTCTATCTCTTCCATTTTCTGTATTTTGTTCTACGAAATCGCGCAGCGTTCAACGTGTTAATCCATTAGAAATAAAAAGAAATGTATCCGTTCGATCGAATGAGTTCCATTGGATCGTTAAAAAATGAGTACACCGTTTTCGTGGATTTTCAAACTTACATTTATTTAAACAAATCAACATTGACCTCATATTTACGGGTTGTATACTGCATTTTGTAGCACAGGTAAATGCATCACTCTATTACGCAAGATTTATGTGTCCTGCAACGCGTGGCATCGTTCTCTTTTGTTGGGATTGTTCGACGAAAATCAAATAGATCGGGGCGGGGGAGACTGAGTATCGACTGTACTCTAATTGGGACTAGAGAGATTCGACTAGAAAAAGAAAAACATTGGCGGTTCATAGTTCTCGCGGAATAATAATTCCAATGATAATAAATATTAATAATAATCGTAATAAGTAGCATTCGATAGCAATGATCGCGATAATAATGCTAATAATACTCGCGGTTATGATAAATAGTCCTCGGAATTGTATTAAACATGACAATAATATTAATAATAATGATAATAATATTATTAATAATAGTAATAATAATATTAATAATAATAATAATAATCGTAATAGTAATATCAATAATGATAATAATGATGATAATGACAATACGATTAGTAATCAGGATAATCAGAATAATCAGAATAATCAGAATAATCAGAGTAATCAGAGTAATCAGAATAATAGCAATGATAATAGTAATCGCAATAATAATAATTCAATAGCATTATTAATAAAAAGCACAACACAACAATAATCAGGGACGTAAACAACAAATCGATCACATTTGAAATACAGTACACACTACGAACCAACGTGAGTGGTTCACATCGTCGTTTCACTTTGTATTCTCTGTTACTCATCTCGTCATTTCTTCGTCTTCCTATTCTGTCCATCTTCCTTCTCTCTCTCTCTCTCTCTCTTTCGTTCTTTCTTTCTTTTTTT